TGGCCGTCGTCTTGCGATCCTCCGAACATAGACGACGTCACCTCACCGCAGGGACGGATCAACGTGTTCCTCTCATACCGAGACCGCAGCACACTTTCCCGTTAAGGGAGCCATGGACTAATTTTTCCTCTGCGCCTCAAACAACGCAACAAGCACACCTTCGCACACATTAAGAAGGACAGTAAGCCTTTTTTCAAACACCCGCGGTCTGTTTTAAAATCAACCACAGATGACGCTGAGTCTGTGTGATCTCGATAATTGTCGAACTGTTTGCCATTCTGAGTCCATCCACCTCGACTCTGGAGCATACGCAAGCAAACTACGACAATGGCTTACGTTTCACGAACACTTTTTCCGTGTTTCTGTTATCTATTCCTTGTCCTTAACGCTCTGTGGGCCCGTCCATGTCTGTCTGTCTGTTATGTCGTCTATCACGTCGTCCAAAGGTCTTGATGTGGGTAGATGTTAGCCCCAAACCCCAAGCTGGAGGACCTCCCGTCACGTGCGGTCTGTGACTGTTTCTTCTACGTATCCTCAGCCGTCTGTTCCATCCATCCGCAACCTGAGGCAAGTGACCCACTTAACACGTCCTGCAGTATGATAACAGTACGTAATTAAACGAGTCACGTGTTCCACCCGGACCTCAGAAGCCCGCAGCGTTACAATAGGACACAGTGAATGGAAAGAGTCCTGACGGATGAGGGGAGATCTGTTAATTTCCGTTTGCAGTTTCAGAATTTAATTTTCATGCCAGGAAGAGAAATCCCGCGAACGAAACAAACGGACAAACAGGTTCGGTTTCGTACCGCGCCTCCCCTTCAGTCCGCAGCCAAATATAATATTTTCATACATCATTAATTCACGAAAGGCACGGTCGATTATCGTGGCCGTTATTTCAAACTCGTATTGTGTACAGTGGAACTCGTTTAATTTCCATTACGACAGGAACGTACTCTGAGTGCGTAATGATTCTACGTTCGATAAGTAACGTGATTCAGTTAGACCTATAATTAAAACCCATACCAAGTAAATAACGTGTTCAAAACAAATCTACAAAAGAATTTGCGAAATGTCTGACATGCATCGTAAAAATGTTTCGAATTCTTAGAAATGGAATATCATTTGTCAATCTGACCCGATCCTGAGCCACTTTCGACCCTAAGAACCTCTAAATCCTCACGTTTCATTTGCAGACTTCCAAGTCCTTGCTTCGTGCCTCCTCCCCGCCCCTCAAACATCCAACATCCCATCTTAGAATAAGCTTCACAGTTGCAATGCGGGAAGTGTGTTCCCCTTGTTACGCGCCACAGCACACTTCCGCCAAGAAGACCACAACTCGAAACGTCTCTGTCTTTATTCCGCTGAAGCGAACGAAATGGCGTGATTCATGGCATCATATGATGACGTAATGCGAACTGCCGGCCGGCAGATAAAGGACAGCGTCCTGGTTACTGATGCAAAAGAAAACAAACCTCGGACAGTGAGGGGAAGTATAAGCCGAGTTTTTCCTCAGTTCCCTCGCAGAACCTCTCACATTTAGCTTCGCCTCCTCTCGGAAAATTCCCGTTGTAGGCTTTTAAGGAAATTGAACATTAAACTTAATGTAGAAGAACTCAGTTGGGTACGACTAATACAAAATGTCCGTCTCTCCCTTCGCTGGCGTAAGACAGACGACAGCTGAATTTCTGAGGGCAGGTGAAAGACTTCGTTACAGCACGCGGAACCTAACCTCGTACCTTGGGTGAACGAGCAGGAAACAGTTTTACCCCCCCCCCTCGCGGAAAGATGCCCCGATGATGGAGACGGCAGTCTTCCTACAAAGTAAACACTACCACATAAATGGCTGCCTTAAACCGTGTTCCACGATGAAATGAATTACATTCGTCTTGACTGTTCGTAACTGTTTCCCAACAATTCATCCATTTTCCCTGTCCGCGTAGCGTAAACTCTTCAGTTCCATAAGCCAACATCGTACGGGGCAGGAGTGCAAAGTTTAATTCTGTTTGCATAACAAAGTTGTCCGAATACCACATTTACAATTTCCATTACCTGATTCCATTTTATTTGCTGTGTTTCATTTACAATTTCCATTACCTGATTCCACTTACTGTCGGCATTTTATTTGCTGTGTTCCAACAGCACTTATTTCGATAGCAAAGTTTCTCTCTCATTCTAGTTTACCGCGACGAAACCCCTCGACCACCCCCATCTTCTGGGTTGTAGCGCCGTGTAACATTGTCAGTGGCAGTAATGGGGTCATTTTGCTTATTTGCATTGATGTTAATGTCTTTCAGGTATTGCTTTTGTAACCATGTATTCATCCCCCAGGATTGAGAGAACAGTCAAAGCCTCAAATTTGTTGCTCAGTTACGCATTAAAGTCTGGATCCTCACCTGCGTAGTTACATTTAATACCTCGTCCGTTTTCAGTTCCATCTACTTCACTAATAGCGGGTTTCACTTTGCTTTTCCCCCCCAATGGGACCGCTAATTACTATCATCACGTGACGCACCTTCGACTTTTCTTACAGCAACGAATGTGGAAGTACAGTATTGAAATTAAGACAAAACATTTCGTATAAATTTCTATTAAAAAAAACACTGCCATCTTGTGCGAAATAATAAAATTTGGCCAACATCCCGGGCGAAAACGACATCAGGGCACTTTAGAAAACCGCCATTATAGGAACATCGTACGTCATTCGAAACACGCTCATGTAAAATATATAATAATGCCTCACGCGGAATCTGTTAAATGCATTATGTACCTCAGGGGCAAGGTTTGTCTCGGGTACACAGAAGTAAACACCCTGTAAAATGGCGAATAGATGGAATAATAATCTGTACTCACCAATTTTTCGATGGAAATCTTTGGTATGCACGTCAGTGTTTATCGATATCCAACGTAGTACGTTCCTGTATGAACACGATAAAGAATGTTTTAGGCTAAGACCGCACTAACACTTTCTTGCTCGGTACAATTACTTGGTTTCTTTGTGACTTTCTTCAGATCCACTCTCAACTACAAATGGTTTGGTATAAAACAGAGGTTCCCAAACTTTAATACCTGCGCCCCCCCCCCTTCCAGAACAAGTGCAAGCTAACAGATTTGACATAAAATCTAGCTATGAGTAAGACAACTAAACTGCCTCAACCAAGCAAAGGATGTTAAAAATGTTTCTCCACATTTCGTTAAAAAAAGTTTTTCATACAAACAACAAGGCCCCCCCTCCCTCCCTCAGAAAACCACTCGCGCGCCCCACACTTTGGGAACTTATGGTATAAAATACTGCAAAGGTCCATGTTGAAGCACACACCGATAATACCAAAACAATCTCAAGGTGCAGATATCTGTCACCTGAACCACAAAGTTTGTGAAAACTGTCAAATTTCGCACTAGTAACATGACTTCCTCTATTAAAGTTTCCGACGCTAACAATGGCGGCCGAGTCTTTGGACGCTTCATAGCATCTACTGCCACGTACCCTCACGAGCCAATCATCTTCAGAGAATACGTGTATGACAATTTCTGTTGCATCAAGCTTGAAGCTTGTGTGTGTAATATCTGCGCCACCCTCCCTCTTTGTGTCGGTCACTTCAACCTGGGACGAGATTTCTGAACGTCACTTATCAGTAAAGCCAACCTATCAGAGGTTAAAACTTGCCAGGACGCAACCACAGACTACATTGAATTATATGGGACTTAAAACTAATTACAGTGAAATTCGTGGTTGGTAATATCCCTGTAAAATACATTCCGTAAGCATGCATTGAGTTTCAACAAAATCTGTCAAACTACCTACATAAATACACATAAAAGTTCGCATAGGTCCATATGTAACATATCCTTTTAAATAATCAAGATAAATTCAATATTTGGCAATACTCATGCAAAGACCTCAAAACTAAGATAAAAATACCCAATAGTTGCAAAGTTATAACAGAAGACAGCCAACTTCAGATTCACCGCCGTGAAAACCTCAAATCCTACATAGTTAAAAAACTTAATTGAATATTAACAGCACCAAACAACTTAATATTAGATGCACATCAGAAGATGAAGTTGTGGCTTACTTGAATCTCGGCATGTTCATGTTGCGACACGTGCCACTCACACCTTGTCATTCACATTCAATACGTATCACTTATAAAATGATTTAATGAATTTCGTTACAATAGATCACTACAGTATAACAAAGAACATTAATTAATTAATTAACAAAAATTCACTAAGCAAACACAAAAATGAACCCACGCGCAGCAAAGTCACGTCCACCACACAGCCGTTCTCTAATTCTGCAAACCGAAACTATCGATATGGCGCTAGTGGTAGCGTGAAAAAATACACCCATTGCAATGTAGATATTTTTTATGTTAGCAATAAATGTTTGGGACTTTTATTATTTTGTCATTTGTTTGTTTTACAGCATTTTAATTTATTAATATAAAAACTAATTCTTAGTTTCGTTTTGCCTAGGACCTGTTGCGAGACTCGAAAGTTGCCGGACCATGTTTTCTCTGACTTTCAAATTTCCATACTAGTTTCGTTTCTGGGTTTGTAATGAAATTCTTATGCTGAAAACTAGGTTAGCAAAACTACACGTGTCAGTATAACATCCTTTTGTGACAAAACTTTATAAATTTACCGACGATTCGGATGACCTTGGTGCTTCCATCTTCAAGGTAATGAAGTACGAAACTGATATACATAAATTATGGGCGGGCAGGGAATGCCTCGAAAGTGCAAAGTTGGCCGTATTTGTGAGGGACCTAAAGGAAATTGAACCACTGGGGTTCATAGTCAAGGGAATCAGGAAAGCATCCCTGGCATACATTCTCCCACACCCACCTTCGTCCTCTTTAACCAAACTGCGAGACACCAGCAACACCACAATAATCATCGTATGATACCAAGTATTGCTTGACTTGTAGAACAACTGCCTTGAAATCACAATTATATAAACTGACAGACATAATTCAGTTACTTTCACTTCATTTCAGAAAAATTTGCTACAGAAAGCAGCATCTGCTGTTTTTACCTACCTTGTGACCAACCCTGAGAGTGTGGTTATGCAGGAAAATCTGAAATTCTATTCCAATCTGCCAGAGGTGGATATAAATCAAGTGGTTAATTTTGAAGCCAAGGTAAGGACTCATGTCAGTGTTACGTATTATTAAATCATAATATGGATCTACAAAATATGTGAAACAAGAGACAAGACAATGCCCGTGTATGTCAGTCTTCTCAGTGGTAATATCTCATGGAATTGTGGGTAGACGCCAACATTTCGGAGAAACAGATTGTCTCCATCTTCACGGTTAAGTTTCTCTGAAATGTTGGTATTTACCTACAAGTCCGCACAACGGAACAACCTAGAAGATCAACTTTTTCACTATAAGAACATGAAATGTCATCTCACATGCAACATTGTGTCCTAATGTATACAATATATATATTGGCTCAAATTCAGAGAGTTTTGACTTATTTTATGAAGGACCCAATTTCATGTTCTTATGAGAAATGCAATGCTAATTTTAAAACTATCATATTTAGTCAAACATGTTGTCGTCGTTTCTCGGCACTACAACCCTGTTGCAGGTTTTCGCCACCTCCTTTTCGAAGGTTTCTTGGTCTTGGTCGCGCGTGAAATAGTGAGTGACCAACCCACTGATTAGTTGAACATGCCCTTCTGTATAATTTGCAAAGATTTTTTCACCATCTGAATTGCAAAAGAAATTTCTCTTATCATGTTTTAGGTCTCCACAGTGGTGATCTGCCTTAGAACGTGATGTAGTCTTTGTGGTTATGATCCTACAAGACCATGCAATATCATCACCACAATCCAGTTTCTGTTATGCTTAAATATCGTAACACATTAATGTATTTATCAGTGTACACATTTCATTGTGACACTGAGTCCAGTTAGCATTGTTATGAACAAAGTTCAGTTATACAAATAACTTATTTATAATTAAGGTAGACAAACAGTGGTACAGTTTAACATAAGACAGCCATGAAGTGTATGCACAGACAATTCTGCCGTTGAAATTTAAATGGGTGTACCAATTGGTTTATTGTTAAGCCTTTAAAAATATATGCATCATGTTCACAGAATTATGTTTCCCTGTACATCCATGGTTCAGAAGCTTATCAGCATGAAGATTACAAGTCTGTTATTAACTACATTGAGGAATCTCTTCAGGATTATCTCAGAGGGGAAGAGGAATGCAGAGCCTACTGTGAGGGACCATTTGATCAAGGGTGGTTCCCAGATTTTGTTTCATCTATTGCTAGTAAGAAAAACATATACTGCAAGTTAAAATCTTGGCTTACAGGCCAAACATCCTGACTGAGGGTTATTTTGATATTCCTTATTTCTTCCAGGCAGATGACAGGACATACATAACCTTAAATCAGGCTACGACCACTTCCTTCTTCCAGGCAGATGACAGGACATACATAACCTTAAATCAGGCTACGACCACTTCCTTCTTCCAGGCAGATGACAGGACATACATAACCTTAAATCAGGCTACGACCACTTCCTTCTTCCAGGCAGATGACAGGACATACATAACCTTAAATCAGGCTACGACCACTTCCTTCTTCCAGGCAGATGACAGGACATACATAACCTTAAATCAGGCTACGACCACTTCCTTCTGTATCACTTCCAACTCATTAAATCAGAAAACAAAGTAACAGGTCAAGCTGTGTTAAGAACATACTAGCTCAAAATCTGAATCATGCCAAATTACCATGACACTAGCGCAGCTTCTCAGGAATACCAAGGAAAATACAAACTGATGTGGAAGTGGAGAAATTTTTGCACTTAGGAGCTTCATAGTTTTCATTATTTATCTGGTAATGTTAAGGAGATTAAATAAACAGATGACTGACACGGTAGAATATGCAGTACCTGTGATATAAATTATCATTTAATAGTTGAAAGCCCCACGGAAGAATTGTGAGAGTTTGCACTGAGTATTAAGAGAATTAGGTTGTAATGGATTGAACTGGCTCAGTATAAGGGCCAGTGGCAGGCCTGGTTATCACAGTGGCAAACTTTCTTAACAAAGGGAATTTTTCACAAAACGTGTAAATGAACTATGAGAGAGAAAGTATTAATACACAACATTCTTCTCACATATTTAATGTACGTCCTTGCAGATCATTTTACCTACAGCCTCAAGTGCAAGCGAAGATGTCCTGACAAGTTGAATTCTCTAAATGGAGAAAAGCACGAAGACCTCCTAGCAAGCCACTATCACTTTCTGCAGTTCGCATATTACAAAGGTTAGGTTTGTGGCTATACTAAGAACTGTTAAATTAGATTGTATGTTTGTTAAATTTATTTAATCTTATTCAATTCTCTGTTTTCAAAGTTGGAAATGTGAAAAAAGCATGTGAAGCTGTTGCAAGTTACCTGATCTTCTACCCTGCCGATGAAACCATGCTGAATAACAAGCAGTACTACACGAAACTGCCACAGGTTGAAAAGGATTTCTTCGCGCCGAGAGAGGTAATATCGAGGCGCGCGCGTGAACATCAGAATTAGGTCGAGGCAGTCCCCATGCTTACAAGTTGTTGTTTTCTTGGAGACGGTTCATAAAGCGACTCGCTGTTTCCCAGAAGTGCGGCGTTATAATCGGGGCTTACCTTCCTGAACCACCAAAAAATGGGCCATTAAGAATTAGAAATAAAAAATTCTATTGCCTGAAACACACATGCAACAGAAAATGGCAGATTAATACATGTGCTATAAAGAACACAAAAACATCTTTTAACAGAAGTATGTCCTGCAAACAATGTTTTGTTCTTTAATTGGTGAAGCAGAAAACACTTTTTCCCAAAGTTTTAATCTTGAATTTGTTTCTTCCGCCGCAGACATTCACGTGGATGTCGAATATATTTAGTCACGCAGACTTCCAACAGAAACACGTGTTGACCTGATCTCAGTTGAATTCGCTGTTGTTTTTGGTATAATTTTATGAGAATGTTTCAAGTACTTTTGCACTTCTCTACAGAAACCAATATTTCTTCTTCAGGAGGCGATCAGGTATGTGAAAAGGCAGGAATATGAAGTCAAGCTCCTCGATTTCATCGAAACAGAATTTGTTTTCCAAGATGGCAGTGAAAATAGAACTGATGGCAATGCAACAGAGGTAAAGATTTTTGTTTATCTCAATGATTTGTTTAGTTATACGACCAGTTCTCACTGTGGGTCCATTGGAAAAGTTCTATGATTCAGTATGGACTGGAATTAATTTCTAACGACAGCATTTTCTTTTCAGAAACTGTATAACATCACAGTAAACGCAGAAAAAGTAATAAAATTAAATAATACATAACAGAGGTTTGAAGCTCTTGCATCAACGTGATTACTAAGAGTTCTCATTGGCCGTTATTGTATTTTCTAGTGCGTAATTCCATACATAATACGGAATGTAGCCAGCTATGATATGTGTAACTTTCAGAATTGTCCAACATTTTGGCAAACACTGCAGTTGCCGTCTTTGAGACGAGTGATGGTCATTTTTTGGAAGGGCCGGCAGTAGTGCGATGGATTTGATGATGCTTGGGAGTTGTGATTTCTGATAAAAGGCAATTAGTAATGACTGATCCCATATTTTAAATGTAGTCGAGTTAACATTCTCTTCCATATGCTGATATTTAATTCTGAGAGTTACTTTCTCTTTTAATGTGTTTTAACGTGCAACTTTTGTGATCAATTTATTTTTCTACATAGAAATTCTGTGTTTGAAATGAATTCTATAGCAACTGCTTTCTTCATATGTTTTTTTGTTTTTGTTTACCATGTCGTACTTATCATATGCGCAGACTATATTAGTCACTGGCTCCTTTATCCTCTTTAGTGGTAATGTAAGTCTACATAATTCTCAAAATACACAAATGAAATGGCGTGGTACTTCGGTGTAAAGTTTTCAGGGCCAGAGTATTTAATGTTGAATAAGGGCCGCCTCGTTGAAGTTACTAAATTACACAAATGTTTGGCCGAAGTATAGTGTATCCAGCACTGAGTATACCTTTCAGTCCTCCCAAAAATATATATCTGTTTCAACACAATAAGAAAACTTTAAACTAATAACAGCATCGTCTAACCTGATTAACCCTGTTCCCACGTTTCACTTTTTCTTACATTTAATAGTAGACTCGGCACAAATTTCCGTGAACTACGCAATTCTGACCTGACATGAGCACAGGAGGTAACAAAGGTGGATTTTCCGTAGTTGCCCTAACCCCAGTGCGGTTTTAATAACTTTAACGACGCACAAGTTCATTGCTGCCACTTTTTCTTTGGAGTTTAATTGCTTCAAAATGTTCTCGTGTCGCACGAGTATCGCGCGTCCTCCTGATGAAGAAGATAAGCAAATGTAAAATGGCTGTCTAGAAGTCCACTTCTGTTTCTTCCCATCAGTTTGCTACACCCAGTGTCACCACAATACAAGCTTCAAGGTCACAGAAAAATCGCGCAACTTTGCGATGTGAACAGTGCGGCTCAGGCGAACTGTTCTTCTCACTGCGTACTTCATTATCTCATAATTCCTTCTGAGAAAAATGGCTCTTTACCACAGAGGTAAAAATATACCCTGCTACAATTTATGTTCTGTGCATCCTCACTTACGAAATGCAGGTGAAGTTTCAAACTGTGTTTTCAAAAACCGCACGGCAATCAATCTTAGTTTCAGTGCTTGGTGATATTGCACCAACAACTGGGATCACATCACATAATACAACCAAGTATTAGTTCATTTGAAACCTTCTTTTTTCTCTTTTAGCTGTTTAACGTGGACATTTATGTTACTGAAATGTTTTAAAAAAATCCTCTTATTCCGACTTCTAATGGCAGATTCTCTAAATCTGTCCAGCTGTAACGGCAGAGGATGTTTCAGGGCGATGTTCCACATCACACACACCAGTTTAACGTACGAAACAAGATACTGCGAACTTGTTAAAATTAATAAATAAGACTTCACGGCCCAGCGGTTCTACAGGTAGTGTAGCAAAGTTGTACCGCTAACTCAGAGCTGGAGGCCTTCATGTCCTTGAAGCTTGCAATTTGGTGATGATAGGTATAATGATACAATATTATATGGTTTCAAAATATTTCTGAGTACCGTCTGCAACTGCAGTAATTATTATAATTTAAACATAAAGGAAATGGGAACATGGTGCTCCCAGTTTTTTGACTGATGTAGATTTCCCTGTTTGATTGCAGGATGAGTCTTCCTGACTATTCAGGTTCACCATACTCAGGAAAATGTAGGCTTGTCACTCTTTTTGGGAAGTTGTCCAAGCTCGGCCTGACGTGTGGTGCTGCAAGAAACAATAAACTTTTCAAAATTGTACTTCAGCTAAGAAAATTAGTATTCATATATCAAGAATACAAAAATCACAAAAAGTATATTCTAAATGTGAATTCAACGCTAATAATGACACTGAATCAGAAAACACATTTAGTTATGCCATTATATTTGGTTAAGTATTGAGAAACATTTTAAAGTGTACTCTTAACTACATAATGCCTTAGGAATATAGATGCTGTGAATCTGCTTTGCCCGCTTTATACTGGTCTTACAGTGAGTCGTACTGTCTGATCCCAAATTGTCAGATATAAATAAACGTATTCTGACAGAACACGGAGGATGAAGGATGACGCCCTGCCCACGATTGTGAGAATATTTCTTCTGTCACCACATGGCCTTGGCACAGCCTTTACACATTTAACTTGTTTATTTACACCACAGAAGTATGCCTGTATTTAGTTTCACACTTGTTTTTTTTTTTTTGTTTGTTAAAATCTCTTTACCTGTGCCATGAGCAAAACTGGCATAATAAAACTTCCATGCTTCCTCCAGTTAACATTTCTTGGCTTGGTCTAACGACACGTCAATACTAACAAGATGAAATGTAGAAAACAATACTTTCTCATTACATTCTCCATGTACATAATATTGTATTTGGAATGGGCTATCCCTGTTTTGGAGAATGAACACGATAAAACTTAATAAATGTATCCACAGAAATTCAAGGTTCCAAAGAGCACAGTTTGGAAATTACTATCCGAATGTTGGGGAACAATTTGTTTTGTCACTGTACGACAGCAACAGCTGTTTGTAGTTCATCGTAATGCACGGATCACGGAATATCACGAACATCCTGCTCCCATTTCACTAAAAACTTGATAACTGCCCTAAAAGACCCAGAAATCTGTAACACCCACACAATTTTATTCTTGAATTTAGGCGAAAACTTTTCTTTAGAGTCGAGTTCATATCAGACTGAAATAATATTCCACACTGCAATGTCGGTGTACCACTGAAATTTGCATATTATAAAATAAAAGACCTTTTCATATTTGCCTGTCTCACAGTGATAAAGCGAAACAAAGATACAGAAACTATGAAAATAAAATAATTATCAAAGTAAGTTTTCTAGTAACGTGGGTGTACCTCTTAAGCAACAGAAAAAATGTGATATGTATTTTGAACCAGAAATTGAGAATAAATAACTTATGTAACTCAGTATAAGATGCAACTTTTATTCAAAATACCAGGAAACAAGACAATGAATTTAGGCTGATCCCGATTGTAATTCTCAAATGTCATGTATCCCGCACATAACCAACACCACGTACAGGAGATGAGAAGCTAATAGCATGCTTCACTAGTCAAGAAATTCCCTGCCTCCATTACCACATGCGCAAGAACCTCCCACCAGTCCCTATCCGGAGCCAGAGGAATCAAAAATTATGATACAGAACTTCCTTGCACTTACCACGAGTTCTGAATGAAACTGCTACTTATCAAGTGCAAGTGTTCATTTCATACCTGAAAGACGCCACAGGCAAAGTTTATAATTTAATGTCGATGGCTTTTATGGAACACGCAAAATTTTGGAACATCAGACAAAGAACAGAAATATAAATAATAATCGACAACGAAAGGGCCTTCAAACGCACAGCACAAAATGAACAGAAATATAAATAATAATCGACAAAGAAAGGGCCATCAAACACACAGCACAAAACCAGCTAGGTGTTACGAATGAGGAAAACAAGGGCTTGATAGCGGTTACTGAGCCTTCTTCCTGCTGTCCCACATCTTCATGGGGCTGTACCCGGGCACAGGGACAACTTTTTCCTCCACTTATTACTAAAATATATTGCCCAAATTCAGTTTTTGGAAACAGCAATGCGCATACCTGAGAGGTGGGTATGATTCAGAGAGTATTTCTCTAATTTCAGAATAAATCCTGCGTATCCAGAGCGAAGGACAGTATTATTATGGCTGCTATTTCAAAATTAAAACTTTTCCCACCACCTATTATCAAGTTTGAGTGGCCCAAATATGAAGTTAATATTAAACCTAACACGGAAGAATATATTAGAAAATATAGAGGGAACATGATCAAAGAAAAACTTGAGCATAAGAGCAGTGTTAGAACTTCGGACGAAGAACTGGCGCGGGGCGAGATGAGGAGGCGGAAAGAGCGGGCCGTGGGACAGCTGCGGAACGCCGCGGTCAGGAACGTACGAGCCGTGATGGGGGAAAGGGAACTCCGAGGAAAATACAGATTTGTGGCTGAAGGATTTGCTAACGAAAGTGAATGCAATAAAATGATGGAGCTGGCACAGGTAATACTTTCTTGTGGTCTGTTACGAATTTCATATGAGACTTGTGCGCACGGTACACTTTCATGAACAACGTGATCTAACGCATTTCAGGTGGCGGCCGTGCAAGGTGATGGATACAGCGGCAACAAGTCGCCACATACAAATTTTGAGAGGTTTGAAGGAGTTTCGTTAGGAAGAACTGCTTTGGTAAGAATGAACCAGTGTCGGATACCAAATACTTGAAATTTCCTGATAACACAATCTGTTTTTGTTCATGCCACATCCTGCAATTTGCAAATAAATGGCAACACAGCGTCTCCAGGGGTCAGTCTAACTTCCCCTTTGCCAAACTCTTATTTATTCCATGTTAAGAAACCTCTCAAGCCGACTTTAGAAAGGATCGCTGCCACATACATGTCCGCACTAGTCGTGAAGAAGGAACAAGTGCCTCACACTATACTTTGCGTAAATAAAATGGTTTTTCAACGTCTGTGTGTCAGCATCACAAACGGGAAACGACGGCCTTGCAATTTTTCACTGAAAGAAAATGTCCGTTTAACCAGGTTCTGTTATATAAAAGATTTTATTGTTCAAAACATGACTTGCCTGTAACGTCTTTGAAGCTTTGTCCGACTCCTCCCACGTGCAGTTTGCTTTGATACTTATTCTGTTAAGTTGGGGGTTAGTAGATTATAAGGGACAGCAACTGTAAATAAGGGTAGTGGATTAAATACAAATTAGAAAATTACACAGAATTTGGAGGGGGGGATGTGTATTAAATTCATCTCTTTCTTCTTTGCATTTAAGATTCAATGATCGTGCTAAAATGAGCGCAACACATTCCGAGCGTCAGCACTGCTATATTCAGCCAAGTGTTATTTAAAACAAAGACAAAACTGGTATGACCTTAACATAAAAGACTAATTATTGTAACTATGTTTTCAGCTTGTTTATTTAGGTTTGATAGAAGCGGACATATTGGACTTGTACCTAAACTTAAGCGAAATGGGCCGAGACTATTTAGAGAGATATTTCAACCTAAAATCTGAGCTGTACTTCACATACACACATCTTGTATGCAGAACAGCACTGAATGGTACGTAACAGAGGAATCGAGATGCTCCTGAAAAATATTTGTAGCAAACTGGATTTTGGTTTGATATCTCATGTCGTAACACACTTGAATGTTGTAAGGGCATGAGAGGAACCACTAAGAGTCCGCCGTTTCAAACGATCTCCGTAATATCTCCCCATTTCTATGAAAATGTGTCAGGAGTGACTGCATCAGAATGTCAGAGACTACGTGTCACACTGCTGAATCAAGAATCCCAAGTACTGAATGTTTTAGCGAAGTACTTGGCGTTCCTGCTGCTTTGCAGTGATCACAGAATTTGTGCGGGTGGCAGTCGTCAAAACGAGAGAGAGCCGAAAGGAAGAGACGAGGCCTCTAGCAGCGTCTGCTCTGTCTCATTACAATGATATTAGCTCACGTGACTGTTCCTCATGTTTGTTAAGCCTAGGAAAATGGTTTCAGAATGCACGCGGAGAGTGACGAACTTTATGCTTCCCCACCCACTGAAGTGATGACGGTTCACCCCTGCAGATTCTGTGTGCACACTTTACTTGGGAGAACTTTGGCTTAAATCTCAGCCAAGAGACCGACGATGTTTCTCATCGCTTTCCCCAGTCCCTCCGGGCAAACGACGACATAAAATAGGCCATTACCACTTCCTTTCACATCCTTATCAACTCATAATTACTTCGTCAAAGCACAAGTGTAGAAAAGTTGGCCGATGTGAACTGAACTTCTGGTGTAGCAAACAATAATTATTAAAAAAAATGTTGGTAACCAGCTACAAGACCAAACAACCCAAAAGATCACCCCCAGAATATGTAGATTTTAAAAATGCATCAAACTTTGAAAGGTGGAAACTTCCGTCCATTGTCAGTGACATGGTTACAAACTGTCGCCTAACATGTTCTTCCCTTCTGTTTTGGCACGACTAGAATCTCTGAGAAACAGATCTGATATGAGTCACGCCGTGCACGCTGACAACTGCAAGCTTCTCGAGAGTGGAGAATGTCTCAAGGTTCCGCCTGCATACACATGGAGAGACTTCAGGTACATTTCACATGTAGATTCCTGATAACATGTTATTGCGACCCTTGCACAAAACCAAATAGAAATAACATTGCAAGCTGAATCAATTCCTAAATCCTCCATCAGATACAGATCACCAGAACTTCGTAACAGCCATGATTTTTGGTACCGTCACCACACCGGGATTGGTCGTCAAAGTTTTCTTTACTCGAGAATGTTGCTAGCAAAATTACTTGATATTACTGATGTAAAAACGTTGCTGCGTAACAGCGTTTGTACAAAGAGACACTTTTATGAATCCTGGCATTTGATTTCAAATATTGTTCATAATTACCACACCAAATATTGACCAAATGAAAAAAAATTACATTAATTCTTTCACTAACGTACAGACGTGGATTTCGTTTTTGAGAAATTCCACAGAAATAAAGAAAGTAAATTATACGCACAGGCATTTTGCTGTTATTTAAGAATTCTAAAATTTGTGTCGTCAGTGGTGATCACAGAATGAGGTGACACACAAATATAGATCACAAACTGATTGGTTATTTAATGATGCCAAATTAAGCGCATGTATGTCAAATTACGGGGGTAACCAAACTGAAAAACATGACCAGAGCCTGTCCTGAGATGTCATTATTATTATTTTAAAAAGAACTCTTAATCTGTGCTGTGATCAAAATGTAAGGCAGCTACTCGTCAGCGTCGCTGATTTAGCAAACATGAGCGTGGGTGTATCACTGTCTGGAGAACTAATACAAATTGTACTTTTATGTACTTGCAGCGCCATTCTGTATTTGAACGAGGATTTTGAGGGAGGAGAATTCATATTCGTCACAGACTTAACTGCAAAAAATGTTCAGGTATGTAAAATGTTAACTCACACAGATTCTCATCTTACTTGCCAGCTTCCACTGCATGCTCGCCGACACTACGTCTTTATCACGCAACACTTTCCAGCCATTTTTGTTCAGTTTCCTGAAAGAAAAAAAAAGGATTATATGTACAGAGAACCACAATCTTTCTGCCTAATCCAGGCTTCATAACAGAGGTTCTGTTGTGCTCGACCGATGCCCTCAGAATTCTGAGTAGAGTAATCCAGGCTTCATAACAGAGGTTCTGCTGTGCTCGACCGAAGCCCTCAGAATTCTGAGTAGAAAAGTACATGTTAACTTTTAATACATTTCACAGTTTATGGCCCCTAGACATAACAAGGGCAGCACAAGCACGTAGGAGGCCATTAATCCTTTTTGAACTGAAAATATCTTGGCACTTACTTCACTTTTTGACGAGTGTTGCGAGGTTTTCAGCCCCACATCATTCAGACGCTTTAAGAATCCAGATGAGCGGTGATGGACAGACGTGCTCTTACTTTGCAGAGTCTGGTGAAGCCACGCTGCGGCAGACTGGTCGGCTTTTCGGCCGGGAGCGAGAACTTGCACGGGGTACGCGGCGTGCTGAGAGGCCGTCGCTGTGCCCTGGGGCTCTGGTTTACTTTCAGTCCCTTTTATGAAGAGATAGAACGAGTCTTAGCGAAGCAAGTATTGCTCGAAGTACGACGGGGGGGCAGCATCACAGATCAGCTACTTCATGAACTCGAGAAACACGTACCCGCGGGATCCGGTACTTCTAGAACCGAAGAGCTGCTACAACGCAAGGACAGACACGCTAAGGAGAATTCAAGTCCTCAACAGAAGTTTGGTGAGACACTTGCAAGCAGGAAGTCTCATAAAATTCAAATTGAAAGGCACAAGAATGAAAATATGTGCGATCTATATATGCCACATGAAAATTAGGTGTGTGAGGATTATTAGGTTATGTAAACCATTATGCTACACACATTGTGACCAAAACAGGAAATTGTACCTAATACACTGATAAAAGGAAACATATTTCATCCAGTATTACAGAAAACAGGGAAAAATGATCAGCATCTCATTAACATCATCATCTGATGCGATACGACACGACACATCGAAACCTGCGTCAATGCTTAACGTAATAAGACGTAGTGTAATTTTCAAAAAGTATGATATAACCAGGAAACATTGTATTCAATTGGTGCACAGCTTGAAACATCTAAAATCTAACCCACAGCAAGGATATCATCAGATAAATTATAAAGCTGGGAGGAGGGGAAGATTTTTAGGGATAAATGAATCTCCAAATTATGTTTAAAACGACCGGCGATGGGCATCAGTAGAATCGATGCCCCACAGTAAAAGTCTGGCCAGCAGCCCCAAGAAATGTTGGTTTAAATCTTCTAAATTTTAGTAGAGGATGCACAATTTTGTTTGACTGTGTTAATCACGGCAACGGGTTAAGACGCAGCTACGTCCTAGGCCAGCGGATGTTTAGTTTTTCAAATCAGATTCATGGATATGCAGCGTACTTCGCTGTGTTATTTATTTTGTTCTTATACTTACTTTTTTACACCAGTCCTTACAGTCCTGCATTTCATTTTCCCCACGTGCGCACCACGAGGCCTCACGTACGCTTGCTGTATGCGCGGTTCCTCATTCTGCCACAGTATTTATCCCACTGGTTGAAGAATGTGCGCCTGCAAACACTCAGGGTATATAAACATTACGCTTGTACACACGCATTCTCAGACTCTCACACTCGCATGCCGAAGTGCCCTTTGATCTGTTGTATGGAATTTGGTCTTTATGTAAAGGAACGTATTGGCGTTCTATAACACAAAACAATTTTATCAGAACTTAATACGTAAAAAAGCAGAGGCACTATATTATTGCAAGCTCGCAGGCCAGTGTGAAAGTCTGATGAAAGTGTAAAAGGACACAAACTTTCTTTCCAGTAGACTTGCATAAGACATCAATCAATACCTCATACACATTTGCCCAACTTTCAGAATTTAAACTCCTCATGACGTTAAATATATGTAACTTACTGTCGTCTGTTGCTTTCTTTTTGATCGAGCGTGACTGTGAGGTGGTAGACTTCATTATGAGGTTTGATACTGTGTAAATATTATAATGAAAACATCTTCCTAGTCACTTTAATTAGCGGCAGCTACAGGAAATATTTTACTTGTGTTGGATCTCAACGTATCACCTTCTGTGTTTACTGTTATTTCACTACATGGACGTGTGTTCTTGTGCTCAATCTCCACCGGAAGCTAAACTACCAAAGTCCTGGTCTCAAAATTGGCAATTGGTTAAATTAGAAGTCACATAAACCAAGGTACTGGACACATTTTCATTAACAAAATAATCAGGAACATAGCTGGTGCTCAGAGATATGGAGAGGTTAAAAGAGATTGTATTTGCTCTGGCTTATAGCCGGCTTCAACCACCCAACATACAGACTGCCTTAATTACAGATGTCTGTGTATACTCATTGTTACTGTGAATAAAAATTCAACCTTGTCATGTTCTCTTTATTGAAAGTGGGCAAATACAGATCATCAAAGTTCCCAGTCAGAATCTCCCACCTTTGTAGGTAAACTGTGATATTGAATCAGAAAAGTTCACATTTGATATTTAAAACCTAGTGTATATTTTATCTCTACCCCAAAGTTCTATATAGAACATGATCAAAACACATACACTCGTGACTTAAATGAAGCTTTAAGCAGTCTGGAAGAAATTTATAATAAGCTGCCTTTGTAAACAGTTACTTGAAACTGGAAGAACGTACAAATACGTACCCGAATAGAGCCGGCTGTGTATTATTCTCCGCCAATCTGTGCCGCCAAACGACCATAACAAGCAGGTTGTCCACAACACCAGTTTGCAATACCAACATCTGAAAAGTTTCTAGTAAGAGACAGAATTTGGGCTTATGCCATTTGCAGCGGATGGACTAAATATCAGAACAATTAACACATATAATAACACGACAACGACTTGTGAGTTTCTACCTGGCAGAGAACAAGACTGAGGAGGCCACGACCCGTTTGATCCAATCACTGAAGAAACGAAACTTCTGGCGCTAGAAAGTCAGAGAAGACACACTTTGCTGCATATTCCGCAATCTGTGCACACGTGACCAGGAAAAGGAAGTACATCTCGTTGACAGCTGATCAAACAACAAACGCTGCAGTCACGTTCAGAGGACTGCCGATGGCAATGCGCTGAGCGTGTGAGCACAATTCATTCGCAACTCCCGCCGAACGTTCACGCAATTTAACAGGTTTGACGGCAGTGGAATGTTGTGCAGACGGAGATAACTGCTCTCGTGGTTACAAGGGAAGGAAGGAAGGACCAACACACAGAGAGAAGCGCCCTAATATTTACTATGTAGCGTCGAATGAAAGGAGGATACTGAATTGGAAAGGATGTGGAGGGAAGCGGTAGTGGCCTACTTTAATGTACTATCCCAGAAATTTCCTGGAACGACTGAGTAAAACCACGAAAAAACCCGGTCACCGAATACGTATTCAGAAGTGGCTGCGGCCTGCTTAAAGACTACATTCCTGTGTGCACATGGAATGACTGAGGAAGAAATTGATACGACTCAGTCACAACAGTCAATTATATAGACATTTAAACAGAATTCTTGAAGTTATAAAATGTTTCTCTCCAGCCTCTGAGGCCCCCTAACTGTTGGTAACACAGAAATCATCTTCTTGACATAATTTCGTCATAAAAAGCACCTTTTTAACATCATCACAGCCGTTTCTGTTAGGACGTGGATCCGTACACGTGTTCGTACTTAATCAGTCAAGACCTCGTCGTCTCCACAGCGAGACAGCTGTCAATCTGAAGTCTTATTGTGCCGTTATTAAAGCCCTCTTCCAGTTTTCAGAGCCCTTCGGAGACGCGTGGGAGAGCCTCGCCACCCTCCACTTCTCATTTATAACATGACAACGGTTTCAAAAGTCTTTGCCCGACATTTTTAGTCGGCGAATTTAATTCATGAAGCCGCCACCCCACCCGGCAATTAATATCAACCGTGCTTATTAGAAACCCGCGGAAGTAGGGGGTAAGTCTATCGCCACCGGCGAGAGTGAACGTGTAGTCTGGCAGAAACCGAACGACGCTTCGGAGACGATTACTGCTGCCATCGTCAGCGCCTTCAGGTCGCTCAAAATCGTTCCCGACACAACGCAGAAACTGACAATCGACGTCACTGCAAGTAGCGTTGAATGCAAAAATGAAAAGTCGAAACAGAGAGCGTGTCTCGGCCCCACACGTCCAGCGTTAACTCGCGAACAGGCCGCTTATCGGGGCGAAAAATGGATGGGCCTAGAAAATTACGCGGGTCTTACGATCGAAATAATTGCTAGGCCCTTGGTCTGAGCTGCATTCCACGAATTCGTGAATGCAGCGCCGCTGACGTGAAATCGCATCAGCAATGGACCTCATCTTGAAAAAGGCGCGTTTCTGTGCGATCCCCAAAGACGTTTCGACCACATCATTTCCGGCGTTTTCCTCAGGAGTCGAATCAGATCCATTTATAACCACTCGTATTGTGTCTGAACGCGCAGTTTACGTGTAAAAACGAAGAATTTATGACCCGAAGCTGGCTTACAGTGCCACGTGAGATTTCACTGGGGCGACGCTCATGTACGTAAATCGTCTGCGTTTCTGCACGGGACTTAAAAAGACGGGCGAAGGGGACATTCCTCGTCCACGCTGTGACTGATGGCGGGCGTGGGCGATACAGAAACGAAAATGCAGCCATAACACGGGCAGTAATTGCAAGAACACACGTCCCGGTGGGCGGAGAGCGCATAAGCGCCGGGAAGAATAATGTATTTTTCTTGGAGACACGCGAGAGCCCGGGAGCTCGCGGGCGTGGTTTGGCCGCTCAGGGTTGGCTGACGGTAGCGGAGGTTCACCCACAAGGAGGCTGGCCCGGGCTGGTCACACATGCTCGATGCAAACCTCTCGCCTCGCGGGGGGGCAGAGGAGGCGTTTGGGGGCCGGCACCACCGTAAGACGCGGCACGTGGGGGCGGGGAAAGGGTTACGTCTTGGCGCTTGCAACCCCTCCCAGATCGGCCCAGGTCGAGTGTGTGGCAGGGTATTGATTTACCCTGAGTGGGCTTTAATTGGAGCGTCTTCAGCACAAGTGCCCTTCTCGGTAACATCCGTACCCCCTCGGCGATACAGACTCTTCAGAGCTCGTTTTTCTTTTGCACAATAAGAAGGCTGGCTTCTTCGTTAAAGAGGCAAACGCTTTCTTTCATATAAAATGGATCCTTTTACGCCGCTCCGCGCAATATTATACGACCCGCGGTAATCAACGCTCCGCCGAGGAGGGAGCAAGGTAGAATGGAAAGATTATAACCTCTCTCCCCCCGAGTTTTAATAATTGTCGTGCGGGGCTCTCCTGGCAGAACAAGACATCGCGAGTCCCATTATTGCTAATTTATTATAATAGAATTTTCTCTGGAGATAAGGCGCTCGGGGTGGCCTAGCCACACGGCGCAAAGCGCACGGTTACACCCAATTAAAGTTTTAATTGCACAAAAAGGTACGGCGTCGTTATCTCCGAGCCGAACAGCCCCGTTCCCGCGAACGGGAAATGACCGGCGCCGCGCTTTTAAAACACGATCTTTACAACCAGAGAGACTTGAGGTTGAAATGCCTTGGTTCCTTATCTGCCGCCCCCCACCCGCCCCCGACGCTCGCACCGAGACATGGACAAAACAGCGGTGCTCGAGGCAACATCCTGCCAGCTCCATCGCTCATACTTAATAGGAATTGGTCATAAATGTTGGAGTTCTAGAAGCGTAAATACGTCAAATTCACTGCTCCTGATGATAATAAACGCTGGAATATGAGACAATTAAAAGAGGGCACAGATAGCTTGACGAGCTTCGATCACCTGCTGGAGCCCAGACTCCACGCAGCCTCCTATCTGATGCGTACCGGGGCCATTTTCACGGGGATGAAGCGGCCGGGACGTGAACCTCACCACCAAATCTCCACAGCCTTGTGCTTTATGAGCAGGAGTAACTTCGCCATTTGATTTAAGCCCACAAAAAAGGCAAACCCAATAAAAATGTCGCGAACTACGACAAAAACAGACAATTACGTTCACCGAGAAATTACGAGCAGGTCAACGCAACTGAAAAACCTTCTTTCTACCCGCGCGATTAAAATAAAACAGGCAGGCGAACGCGAAAGCTTCGATCGTACGCGTTGTTTTGCAACGGTGCTGAGGAAATGCGGATAATACTAAAACGGATCGTCTGAACCCGGGACTGCAATGTAACGCCCGGCCCTCACGAGCCGTAATTCGTACGACACAAGAGACTGCACGCCACGGCGTCCTGTCCATATGTGGACCGCTTCATTGAGTGAGTGCCCAGCTTCCTATTTGCCGCTGATGACTTCCCGGAACAACAAAGCCGAGGAAATGGCCTGTTTCTGTTCCTTTCATTTGCGGAGAAGATAAAAAGGCGCGTATTTGGACGGGATCAAACTAGGTTTGCGGCTGAGGGGGGTTGACAAAGTCTCTGCTATTACATCAACCCCGCACCACCCTTCCCATCGTCCCCTGCTACTCTCCCCCGTTCCGTGTTCGAACATCCTTCAACACCATCGTCCCCCCCACCCCCCACTTCAGGAGAAGCTTCTGTTTGTTGGTAATGGTGATGCATCGCAACACTTCAACCCTCCAACGAACACAGCGGCATTACGAGATTCGTCTCGTAAAACTGGAACCATTTAGTGCAAACGACATTTTCAAAGCTACGATCTTCCCAATTTCATCGCGACACGAGTTATAAACAGCGAAGGGCTCTCGGGTGACCCGCGCGAAGTCGTGCCGAGAGTCGATGTAGACGGGGCAACCTAAGCGTCGTCGTACTCATCCTCTAATTCTCTCATTTAAACGTTTCAATTTCGTTTCTGCATCGTCGGCGTTGACTCTCTCTCTATCCCCGTATCGTCTGCAACAGGCAGCCACGTTACCAAAGTTTCGAAGAAACACACAGTCCCTATCTTTTACCCCGGAAATGAAAGCGACGTGTTCCTCCGAAACGCTGGTCGGCGTCACATCTCGCCCTGACGAAGTCGAACTTTTCCTACTAGAAACTGCACTACGACTCAAGACTCAACCTCTGCAGAGGTTCGCTTAAATCGTCTTGAAACAGACGGCAGAACTCCTCGAAAAAGGTGAAATCAACGACGCAGTGCGTAACACAGGAAAGCGCTGATGTCGGTGCCTCGAACGGGGTTCGAACTCGCCACCCCACTGTTCGGGCGGCCTTCTCTATCCCGAAAATCCTGGCGAGCTGCTCAGAAGCACGGCATTCTTGCGTCCAAGCGGCATCGGCAATCCTCAAACTGCTTCCTGTCGGTTCCTGGACCCGATCTTCCGACAAGGCCGAGGAATCCACAAGCACAGTGTCCATTTGTCGCGGCAGACAATGGGCGGAGGACAGCGGCTCTTACGTCATCCGCATGTCAAGACAGAGAAATGGAACGCGTAGCAAAACAAAGCATCTGTCTGACAGTCGACCGAATCCACAAAAACGCACACATAAACGTAGCCTCATTTTGGGTCCCCTTTCGTGATCCAGATACAAATTTCCGGAATAAGTATTTATTAAAACACAAAGGCACGCAGACAAATTTTAAAGACGCAAGCAGAGTTCTGTCGGGGCTAACGTCTGCCGATACGAAAACACAGAACCATTAACGTTTCAGCGGTTCAAAAGGACCTCACGGGAAGACAAGTTACAGCCAGGAGGACCGACACATAACTTAAAGAAACGTCTGCTCTGTCTTGCAACGCCCCTGGAGGTAAGTGCCCCCAGCCCGGCCATCCACTGCGCTTGCTCAGTGGGCTTCCAGGTTAGATGACGACGTCGTATCAACTGCGCTCTTTTATTTGTCCCAGAAAGATAGCGCAGAATTAGGCCTATGTTCGATGGAGTAGGAGAACTGCGGTGTTACAAACACTGAAATATTGCCGCAATTCGCATGGATTGAACCAACGAAGACGCGGATGCTGGGGCCGGTAGCGGGCGCCTGCTCGAATTACTGACTGACAACACAACACCGCGGTCAGCCGAAGGACAACTCGCGTACGCGCGCCGATAAGTGACGGGCTGAACGACGACCACTGCGGGGCGGAGGCCTCGCGCGCGGTGGATGCCTACTCGTACAAGGCAGTCAAGTGACGGGGTTGAGACAACTTATTCAGAGCGACTTCTTCGTCTTCTTATTTTTCGCCTCAGACAGTGTTGACTTCATATTATTAAGTTCCACGTCACGGCCAAGAATTCTCCACAAAATATAACAAGTCTGCCACTAAATAATGCTTCAAACGAGATGAGATCTCGACTTCATATCTGAAGGTTTGATCGGACAGGGCGACACAAAAGCAGGTTTTCTTGCCTCATGCTCCATTAGAACAAGAATGCGCCTTAAGAGACTGGCTAATTTGTCTCTTGATATCCGAAGACTTGTTACCTGCCTGAGCCGTGGCGAAGGGCCCTGAAAATGGAGGCAGGGTGTTCCTACGAAACGCTGGTATCCACACGGCGCAACAACTCAGAACAACATGGACGTCACAATCTAAAGGACGCATCCACTTTTACGCCATGCGATGCGAGGCGAGAGAGGATACCACGACAAATGGCGTACCTGTTGTCTGACGCACTCCTGTGGCTGGCCAGGTGTGGGGTTAGGAAGGGGGCTGGGAACTTTCGAAACAACCAGGAAACATCAGTTTCTTCAGGATCGCACTCCCACTGTTTCGAATTCATTTCTGAAATGAAACGCAATTTCATTAGATTTAAACATGTAACACAGAAAAAGAGCATAAGTACGTAGCAATGTCGAAGGCATTTTAATGTCCACTTCGTGGTCGCTGATAAATCCGAGCAGACGGTAACTTGAAAACGTGATTCATACAAACACGGCTGTCTATTGGGTCGTGTAATCTGGCAGACTTTACCGACGTTTCTGGGGGTGATTGCTGCCTCAATCATCAGTATTCTGTGCCCTTACGAAGTAGGCAGTAAACTCCTCTGAAACGTCGGTAAGTATCTACCAAACTACTCACGTACCCGTGTAGGTGACTGAAGAAAATCAAACGTTGCCAAGAAAACAGAACACCGTCGCCTGTCGTTTGTTCGGCAATTTTTAAAACCATTGCCACGTAGAGACGCGCAATTCTTTCACACAAAAGACGTGCGAGCGATGCCAGCAGAACTATCATTCAGCATTAGAACTCTTATCCAATTCACCTCATCAGCTCTTGTATCGTTCCTAATTTTGGCAATCGGCGGGTGAACTGTTTACCTGTAAGAAATATGAAAATAATCTCCACTTCAGGTTTGCTGGATTAACGCTGAAGCTGAAATTGGGTTCGTAAAAGTGTGAGGGACGGAGTTAAACAAAGAAACACTAACAACAAATACTTAGGTGTTTTAGCGGCCTTTATTTCGAGTACAGGAACGAAAACACTGCGCTAGAGTGAAGTTTCAAAATACACAGTTACATGGCAAGCCGAGAGAACTTGAAAACTGGCCCTGGAACGAAACGTCGTACTCCATTTGCAAAACATTTACTTACAAACAAAACATTCTTCTAAAGACTTATATACAATAATAAGAACTCTTACCTCGGACAAAATGTTCACAGTACTCTTTACATTAGGATAACACGTTCTCCAAAATGTTTGGACAGACTGTGAAGGAAAATAAGGGCCGAACAAATAGTGCGAGTTAAGTTTTACAGTGGCAAATATATCTCAAGCTTATTTCATTCGCGTTTCCACATAGACTTTAAGGCAAATTTAATTAGATTTTGGTAATAATGTCCTCGGTATGATCAAAACTCTTCAGTCAATGGCTGTCAATCAATTATAAGTCAAATGTATATTAAGGCATCTTGAAATCACGTCAAGGAAAAGAGCTGACAAAGGGAGGGCAAGTAGAACCGTCTGCATGACTTAGCACCAGGAACGTGACGACGATCCGTCTTAAATGGAACATACTTAAGTGGGCACAGTAGAGAGATCAACTCACAACGCGTACCGAATTAAGGACAGTCATTTTGACGGGGAACCAAAATACTGCAGAGAACACAAGGACAGTAAGGCTTAAAAACAACGAAACACGTAGTTACTCTGAAGGCCTTCGTACCGATACGAACTATTGGGCACGTGCCGAGCTGTTTGAAAAGAAAAGAGCATAAAAACTACTGCGCTCCTCTGGCACAAAGGCAAACTTAAGATGAAATAAACACGACGTCTAATTCCTCTCGGCAGCGAGGCCAACGATGGTCTTCTGGGTTGTGACGCCGTTTAGACTCCTCGGCCAGATATCCAGTGCTGAAGATGGAGGCAGAATGTTTCTCCGAAACGCTGGTACCTCCTCCTTACGACTGTACACGGCGTCAAACCCCACAAGACCACGACACACAGCGTCACCCGCCTCTTCCCCGACGTGACAGATTCGCAAGAAGGATACTTCCGAGGAATTCTGGCGAATTCCGTGGACCCCGACGCTGAAATGAAGACTGCTGGACACGGAGTTCGTTCACCAGTGACGTCATGCAGACCCTACTGCCGCAACTTAACCTCTTAAGACAATTTAAGCGGAAAATAACAAAAAAAAAATCTGGGAAGGGAAGTGACAGGCAACAGACGACGGCCGGATTTAGTCGTGGGGGGCGCCCCTATGAGCAACAACACATTCAGGTAAAATTGAAATTACTTACAAACAAACAAACAATTTCATATAAGTATCACGTAACATGGTTCTGGCAATGACTACCTGGACCCCCTTAAATCAGGCCCTGCGACAGACTCTCGTATTCTCGTGAAGGGATATGTGTGAGATTTGTTACGTTGATACAAAAAGTAGTCCGATCCCAGATTCAAGATCAAAACGGGCAAGTTGTCTTGAGATTCGCCTTCCTAGCTGCTCACTCGGTCTGTTCGTTGACTTTAAGGAAACATCGGTTGGGTATAAAGTTCACACGAACGACCTCTCTCTCGCTCTCCCTGTCCTTACGAACTGTGAATGACTTTGTGTTGGCCGCGGAGGACGTGCGCCACGGCAAGCAAGACCACAGCAGATGCTCGAAGGACGGGAGCGGACCAAATATTTGCTACAAGGCTCGCACAGAAACCGTCGTCTGTTCTGACCTCCCTCGCCTCTCGTCCCTCATTTGGCTTCCAAGATAACCTGCACGTCCAGAAACTTTGTTGCGAAACAAGTATCAGCGTCGAGAACTCTGTTAAGATGCCAGAAAGTTGTCGGCTCGTTATTACTGTGCCTAATTGCTGTCATTAATTTAGAGTGCGTGATCTACAAACATGCGTCCCACACGGAACAGAGCAGTCTCCTTCATCTTTAACAAAAATACGACACAGAGACGTCCGTAGCGAAGACGTGCCACGAGTTCACGTTCCTTGAAGCCGTTTTAAGAGTCACTTCACAGATTCCGCATATTTTGACACAGAAACCACGCGACTTACGCGAATCGAAATGCAAACAGTGGATTTACACAGACAAAATCCGGGAGGAGGAGACACCATCATCCACTGAGCGTCATGACTAGAGGTCCTTCATCAGCGCAAATGTATCGTGATGTTACGTCATGATTATACGTTTCAGTGCAATTGTAAGTACGCGCTGTCGCTGGGGGAACACTCACAAACGCGCGGTTCAACCATAAGTCACTCCACTCGTGTTCCAGGAGCACATTAATCCATCGCTGATATTTCTGAGAACGTGAATGATTAGTTCGAATGGAAAATGGGACCAGGTCTTCAGATATCACAAAAGCTCGCTCGCTCGCTCGCTCGTCGTCACTGTTTCCGCGAGGGAGCGGCCGCGCTGTCCGAGCCTTAAAATTAAAACATCTGAACAAAGTAACTGAGATACAACTACTCCGTGGTGACACCGTCAGCTGACAACGCGCTTGTCCGACTCACGTCAACTGCACTGACACTTAGAGGGGGGGCCAAGTCAGGGTCGCGTGTTACAGCAGGCAGCGATGAGGTACTTCGACTGGTCAACCCATTTCTTCTTGGCGTCACATAAAAATCCTCCGCAGATCGGAAGGGGATGTTATCATGTTGCACTGTGGACAGAGCTTCTTTGCTCCCTGCAAACAGAACCGGAAGTTTGTCGGTGGTATGCATCACCGCTACACAGCCGCTGGTCCTCTCTGCATGTTCTTAAGGCCCAGACGCCGATTAGAAAGGCGAATTACTCCCGACGAAACAAGCGACTGCCCCGTGTTACCAAGACAAGAAGGAGCCAGGGATTTTAGACTAAAACTGAGTAGCGGGACGCCCGATTTAACATTAGCAACTGCTCTCACGATTTCCGGGATCATAAAATAAGCACTTATTACAGAGACGGAAAATTTGTGAGCAATTTAAATCAATAGGATTCACACGATTACAAAATTCGAAAAATAAAAAAAAAATAAAATCGGGAACATTTACAGGGCCAGGTCTTGAAATGTTGTACGTCTCTACGTTTTTGAGTAAGTGAACACAATAAAATGAGGCAAACCTCAGAGCAGTTGTCACTTGTGCAGGGGCAGATATCACAAGATGGATATTCCTTTTCGTGAAATAGCAATCACTTTAGTGAATGAGACCTCACAGTTTCAGAACGTTCCGCACTTAAAGGACACAAAACAAAGATTCTCATGCATATGTACCACCTGCTTCAACATTCACTTCCCCCTCAGACTGTACTCACATGATTCTCAGAATTCAAAGCGTTATTTCTCAAAACAGCATTAACCTAACCTAACCTAACCTTTCTAAAGGAGACGTTCTGTTTTCTTTGCGGTAAGAACTGGGTTTTTAGATAATATTTTTGTCAAAGGGTTTAAGTTTCATTAAGTTAGGCATAACATATAAGAATAAGCAATAATTATCGTTTTGGGTGGTGACGGTGGAAGGGGCGTGTTCCTTGTCCAGCGAACATGTCGCAGAACGACCTTGAACTCGAGCCCTCTGCTGTTTCCGTCCATCCGCGGCGATGGTCAAAACGACAATGTCCGGCGGTCCGTTGCTTGAACTTGCTTCAGATCTACGAGGGGCCCGCGTCATAGCAAGTGCCAATACGCTTTGTGTGCGTGCAAAATGCACTGGGTCGTATGCGGAATCGGTTGGAAGCTCCTACATCTTTTTAAGAACACGAAGTCGCTCTCAGGATAACCGGGCGTTACATTCACCATGCACGTTCTGTGTGAGTGTAACCTGGCGCTGAGTTATGGCACAGTCCTCCACTAAACTCCCAATTAGTTCCAGCAAAAACAGGTGACTATCGTAGTTCCCGTGTAAACGAAGGGAACTTCTACCACTGGCAGTGCGAAGTGAGCCTACTGTTCCCTCTTTTTGGGCGCCATGTACAATCGTCTGTAGAAACCAGGGTTTCAGCGAAACGTACAGAAACCCAGAACCTCGTCATCTTCACCGCCGGAGAAAACCTCAAATCTCACAATTTGTGTTATTTACAGTGTTCTGAGCTGGAAAACGGAGGCGACACCTGCCACAAGCTCTGTTCACTGTGACGTTTACATTTTCCCTGTGGCTTCTACTCGATTTCCGCTGCATCGCATGACAACTTCCTCCAGGAGTAAAGTACCCATCGCCTCTTCAAAGCGAAGAAACACATTTTGGGAACACTGTTTACCAATTCTGTGCCCACATTTCACGTCACATGTCCCATGCTCGATGTTTCACGACATTTCTTACTACATATTACCAGTTGCTCTCTCAATCGTGATTATACGTGGACCACATCGGACGAAAAACGGCGCTACGCGGTGGTCCGAATAAAAACCATTTAAAACACTCGCCCTGATGATGGAGGCAGAGGGCCTCTGAAACGTCGGCACACTTATTCTTTCAGACTGCACGGAGCTACGACCCAGAAGACGGCAATCTTCATACTTACCGCCGTGAGAACCTCAAATCCTTAGATGAACCAGAATTATTCAAATTGATTACTGAGTGTCTTTGACAAACGTTAATCGTAGTTGGTTTTAAAACAACAGGCATTAAGTGATCCTAAAACACGACGTTTCGGGACGGGGTCTGCCTTTAACGTAATTTGAAGAGGCCAACGTGCATTTAATAACAGCGGTCCACCGAAATGGTTCAAAATGCATTTCTTTCCTTCCTCGGGGCTGTTACTCGTTGCTCCGAATTGCACATCTGAACCACTCTGGTGCGAAATCGCGGCAATTTCAGATATGATCCGCGCTGATTGCACGCCCTTCTGCTGTTCTATCAATTTAATTTTGCCTTTGTTTACTTTCCTTACAAATAACAGATCACGTCCTCTTCGCGAGGGCTTTAACAGCAATTATCGCAATTCGCTTGTGTTGGCCGCCGTAATTTATTTTCATGACAATTCGGATTACGCAATTATATTTTTCCTGTAATTGCAACAGATATAAGTGTTCAATAAATACGATGTGGTCAAATGGCCCCGCATTTGTTGGCTTATGAACGACGGTCGAGCCTTGCGAATGAATTTTATGGCCGGGGCGTAATCCCCGCTCAATATGACATATGCGCTCCAGTCTTAAAATAAACATGTAAATCATTCTGTCTCAGGTCTCTCTCCCTACTTGGCTGACAATCCTAATCAAACTCGTTCGATAATCCTGCGCAGAAAAGTACAAATATCCACGCCAGGATCACTTACGTACGAGCAACCAAAGCGTTTTGTGTGGGGCGATAAAACAACGGCACAGCTGCTAAGTAACCGACACATGTTCCGGAGCAAGTAATCATGT